TGTTATAACAAAGGTAAAACAAAATCTTTCTTAAAAAATTCTGCACTGTCTGCAATCTGTTTATATTTTATTATGTTTTTTCATCCTTTTTTTGTATATTTTTTTTCATATCTTTTTTAGGTTGAAGTGGATACAAATCATTTCAAAGGAAATTTTCCTGACTCATGTACTATTGAAGGTAATCTTATACAATCAATCAATCAATCAATCAATCAATCAATCAATCAATCAATCAATCAATCAACCAATCAATCAATCAATCAATCAATCAATCAATCAATCATTTGAATAATGAAATAAAACTAACAAGCCATGCATTTTTCTTGACTACATTAGGATGCGCCATGACAGAACAGTTGGAAAATGAATTCTGTAAAAAYCCAGAGACTACTCCGWTACCATGGAAACTTCTTTTACCATCTACAAAGGTTGGAAACAATGTTTTTATTGTTTACACTGCTTTATATTGTATGTCTGTTGTGATTGGTTTAAGTTTTACTATTGTTGTATTTTCATGCTCATTATACCCCTTCAATTATTCTGAGGTGTAGCAAGAACCAATGATCCGAAAAGGAATATTTTTTKGGGGGGAAAGGAGGGGGTCAACCCCTGTTAAAAAGCTAAACAAAGTCCCCAAAATTTGCTGCATCACCTTGCACCTGTCCAATACAATCATTTTTACCACTAATTATTATGTTTTTTTATGTTCTTAGCTCTCACCCAACAAGCGCGATTTTTTCACTGACACTGTCCAAGACTGTGGAGTARTAACCCATGTCAAGCTTAACATCTTTCCTGATGGTGGAGTGAGCCGATTAAGGCTGTTAGGTTTGCCCAGGCAATCAAGTGATCATGTTGCGGCAAACCTCTGAAGTATACTACAAATTGGCACCATGGAAACCAACAAAGCAGCTTCATCTTTGGGAAGGATGGGGGTTGATGTATCTTCATGGTATCTGATCTGTTGTGACAACAGGATAACAAAACTGGAATATTGCAATAATTTCTCTCTCAGATGAGCATRCTGGCAATGATGATTTAATAATGATGGTTTTTTTAAAAAACAATTCTATTTTTATACAATAAATAAAGTAATTATGCACTGTTACTTGGTACTGTCTTGTTTTCCTTTCTTTCTTTCTCCCTCCCTTTCTCCCTTTCTCCCATTCTTTTTCCCTTTAATTTTCTAGGCCATTGTGGTGGCTGGGACAGGGGAGAGTGGGGATAAATGCAGCATATACTCCATGATATAAGTTTACATGAATTTTCTAGTGACTCTAAGCACTTTAGGATTGACAGGACTCTTTCATTGCTTTATGT